AAGCATCCATGAGTTCACAGTTTGATGGAATGCAGCCTGATGCTTGCTTGTGGGCCCTCCCCACCTAGTGTGTGATGTAAGATCAGGCGGACGGCTCAGGTGATGTGGGAAGGCAATGCATCGACAAGTTCACACCATTATGCGATCCAGTCTGGGGCAAACATTGTAACCACTTATAAATCGATATTTACAAACGGTGTGATCGCATTCATGAGAGTGGATGATCCATGAAGCGAGAGACTGTACAATGATCGTCCTTTTTCGCTACTTGATCAGCTGAGCGCGCCCAGGTTTTTTATAATTATTCTTTTTTTGTCTAAAAATATATGAAAAAACCCCCCCTACTAAATTATGACCTGAAAAGTGGGATCTTAGCCGAATGTAGCTCCTTCAGTACGGGTCAGAGCGTGATCTTAGGGGTGACTTTTATAGTAAAAGTTCTGTTTTTCCAAAACAACAGGATCTTTTATAAGCGAACTGGGACCATACGCGATGATATACTGATAGTAAAGTAAATTATTTGAAACTGACATATTTTATTTATCAAGTGCGGAGATTTCAAGATTTATTAGTCCAAAATAAATGCTCTTGAAGTCATCATTGTCTCTTTAGCCTCACGTTGATTGTATTTGATTTGAAAAGTTTCGTTTGTATCATGCACGTTCCATGTATTTCTTATGACTTAGTTCGTCTAATCTTAGATGGTTACTAACCATTGCTAAGGGACGATATGTGAAGGGTTGCTGACAAAATGAGTTATTTTGTGGATTTGAGCCCTAGTATGGAAATACTACATGACGCTTATATGAAGTTTTTACAATTTATAAATGAAATGATAGAAGGCATGTTATACTTTATTTTAAGAATATGGCATCAATAGAAAATCTACAAATCTTACCATAGTGTGGATTTCTGGCCAATATATCCATTTGTGAATTGCGAGAAGTAGCTCATTTTGTCAGCACGCCACACATATTATAATTATTCCTTTAAAAATAATTTGAAAAAAAAAAAGAATTAACGAGTGATGGAAAGAAAGACACAGATCGTCCTCAGTGCATGATTGTTTGGACTCATTTGTCAAGTAAATAATAATAATGTTTACTTTCAGGATTTGAGGATTAGAAAAAAACTGTTCTCTTCTTTAAAAAAACTGTTCTCTTCTTTTAAAAAACTGTTCTCTTCTTTAAAAAAACTGTTCTCTTCTTTTAACAAACTGTTCTCTTCTTTAAAAAAACTGTTCTCTTCTTTTAACAAACTGTTCTCTTCTTTTAACAAACTGTTCTCTTCTTTTAACAAACTGTTCTCTTCTTTTAACAAAATTGTTTTCAGTTTTTTAAGATATGTAGTCAAGTCCTCAAGAATTGTGTATTGAAATCATGTGTCTATGACATGAACTGTAAATTGAAAATGTTGACACTTTATATTCCTTTTTCTCCCTCCTCCCTAGACTTAACAGCGCACGTTGAATTGGCCGAGACGAAAAGGATGTGGTTAGATGCTTAGAGAGTATGTCTAGGAAACGTAGCGGTTCTCGTGGCAATCATTCCAGCATGTGGAAAAAAAGCGCCGGATTGTCAGAGGAGGACAAGGAGGAAATTGACTCTCTCTTCAACAAAAAGTTTAAATACAGTGACGTTTTAAAAAGTTTGTCGCCAGAACAGGGAAAAGTGGATGAGGTGACGAGGTCAGGAGATGGTTCTATCTCTGTGGAGGACTTTCTGGGAGGTCAGTAAAAGTAGCCAGCACACACACACACACACACACATGCACGCATGGGCATGCACACACACATGCACGCACTCACATGCACACACACACACACACACACAAACACACACACTCTATTGTCGTGGTTTAAAAAGATGCACCTCAATATTCTACAAAATTGTGTATAATATTAATATAGAGCTAATATTTTCCTCTTAACTGTTACATAGTATTTCCTTCATTTTTTAAAAAATTATTCAATGTTGTATCTTACTCTTCGATTAGTTTTTCTTCGATCTTTTAATGATTTTTACTTCATAAATCAATAACTTTTTATAAAGTATTATTTTGTTTGTACGAGAGGCCAAACGCCTGGGGGAAATGGGCGGGGGGGGGGGGATTGGAAGCTGTTTTTGACGTCACTACACTTCTATGTGCACTGAAAGACCTCTGAAACCCCCTAGTTTTGGAGCTCGAAATAGAAAAAGAAAAATAGCACAGACCTTCTGAAGTGTGAAAGCAAACACAAACATTTGTGAGGAAGCGTGGTGGAATCAGGCTCTCGTCAAAAATAATCAAAGTGACGAAACTTGCATTTTTCCGCAGGTTTGTGAATTTTTATCACATTTTTGTTTTTTGGCTCAACGCCTTTCATGCCCATTAAAGAACTAATTTCTGGGTGGATTTTTCTGAAAAACGTTGATTAAAGGCACAAAAAAGTAAATTTTCTGTTACTACTGACTCTTAAGCTAAGGAAATAACTAATTTTTGGCGGCCGTTTTCTCACTAAATTTCCCTCAGAAAACAGGTGACCCCCACCTTCTTCTTTCGCAAATATCTCGAC